CACGGAGAACCTGTCCCTGACGATGACGAACTCTTCGAGGTTACTGCATATCATAAACTCACTCGGCTTAGTTCAAGGAAATGCTCAAAGTTCACCAGTATCTTCCATCTGTAAATTTAGGTGGCTGCAGGACTTAAGCCCAAACGTAAGGAAGAAGTCATAGTTGAAGAACGGATTCCCGAATGTACCGAAAAGTTCGAGATAGATTTTTGTGAGTGTGGTCATTTTTTTATGTATGCCTAGGTAGCTTCGGAAATTTTGTAGGATAACAAATTAAAGCGTTACTGAAAGTATCTGCATTGGCTCTCCGTGATACCGTGCATACTTTTGTGGTGTGCATGTCTCATTGCGACTGGCCCGCCTTCAACGGACATATTACTTCTTACTGTCCGGTTCAGACAATGGTGACTTACATCTGAAAGGAGCGCCCGACAATGATTGGATAATTGATCCGGATAATCAGGATGGCCTGGCTCTTATTTGGGGTGGTGTAAGGAGCACCCATGGGATCTTTCCTCCGTGTCGGTGGGTTCAATTAACCTTCGTGTTTTGCTGCTCTGTTTGGTCAACTTTGGAGGTTTTTAGGAACAACCCAGAATCGGATTCTGATTGTGCTAATGAAAATTTGCGATCTATAGTATTTCAAGTGAAGGTACACTGTTTCGTGATATCTTTTACTAGATAACTTTTAATAGTTGTGCGATCCGTTAAGATCACGGAGCTATTACCGACAAGGCATTTACCATTTGATGAGCTGGACCCTAACGATATTCGCGTTGGCTTCTCCTTTCGCTCTTCACCGCTTGTGGTAATAAATGTTATCTTTTTTCGAAAACAATGACATGTGCTAAGGCTATACTCCTGTTGCTTTAGCTAGGAGAGTTTCCGGGATCATACTGCTGTACATCGCTGGGAAAACGAGCGAACAACAATGTTTTCACTGACTATGGCGATTCTTTTGGAGTTGGAGATGTGGTGACGGCAGAACTGGTGAGTTATAGGATAACAGTCAATATCAACACTTCATCTCCTACAATCCAGGATTTCGAAAAAGCCACTATCAGTTTTTGGAAGAACTCCGAATGTATGGGAGTGGCTTTTTCCAATGTGGTAATCCCCGAAGATGAAGCGGTTTATCCACACATATGTGTAAAGAATTGTCGGGTATCTGTCAATTTTGGCACATTCCCCGGAGGCGAAGAAGAGTGGATAAAGTGAGTTAGTTTATTTCTAAGCCATTATTATTTGATTTCCCCTTATGATCATCTTTCAGACGTCCTGAATGGACTTTTCCAAACTCTCTTCCGAGCACACAAACTGAGCGTGCTCCCGTTCCACCAGATAGTAAATCAGATTGCACTGTGCTCATGATGGTGAGTTTATTTATGGATGTAATATTCTTTTGAGGAGTTATTGACTATCTTTCAAACTTTTTTTTACTATTCAAATACCTTGTACCTTTTATATTTCAAAAACTGAATCTGTTCGTTCTGAATGGTACATTTCGTTTGTAGTTTGGAAATGATAAAAAGACTAGTCATTGGTATCTGTGGTCATGCGGTT